CATTGACACGATTAAATTAATACTTAAGGCTACCTACATGTTTTGAATATTAGCCTTTTAACATATAACAGTAGTTTTGCATTATTTATTTAGTTAGGTATTTATAAAAATCATATGTGAATTTATAATGTACACATGTTATAGTACGGGGTGTTTTTTTTAAGACGAGCCATACGACAATGTAAAGGCGTAGAGTTATTTAAAATGGGCCATAGGGAAATTTACATTGCATCATTAGTTACGGTAATCCTTTCTTGCTTCCTCGCAAACTATCTGTCACAGTACTGTAGAAATTGTTTCTGAATCAACAAATTTATTCAAATCAGATATAAACGTATAAGATTGTAGTCGGTGTTCGAATTGTTTTTCACCGGCAATCAAGCAATACCCGATACTCGGCACTGAATATCTTAAATACCACTCAGCTACTGGGCTCACTTTTGTAGGAATTGTATAACATGAATACTTTTTCGAACAGCAAATACATTTTTCTGCTTTGTTGATGCAGTTTGAAGGGTTGAGATAGAGAACTGTTAGTGAAATGACTAAGCGTAAGGTCAAAATTTGAGAACAATTGGCGCAATGTAAATTTCTCTATGGCCCATCTTCAAAAAAACTCCGTGTATAAGGTACAAACGATTGAAAATTATTGCAATGAAGAGATGTTGGTCTTAAAAGTTTTCAAATTTGATTCCAAATATTACAATCTACGTTATAGTTACCAACCTTTTGAATAGCGTAAATCCTTCAAAAAAACTATTTTGTTTGTTTTAATAAAATTAATAGGAAATTGAGGTAAGTAAGATAAATACAAAACGCAAGGATAGATTTGATATTATGGATGTTAATTCAGATACAGTAATTATGAATGAATGCAAATGGTCGTTTGTTATAGGTTTAGAAAATTTGGTCAATAAAAAATGTTCGAATTTTTTTGGAGGAGCTTAACTGCATCTGTAGTGTGATGTGAACAAATAATATATATTAATTACCTGACCCCGCGACTCCACCGCATCGGATTCCGTCTAAAAATAAGATGAAAACAGTATAATTTTATAAATATATTAATAGCTACAGTAGACCTTCGCCAATTCGAACAGGATGAAAGTGTATTATAGGTACGTTATTTTGTAAGTAAAGAATAATTCGAACAACAGTGTCAGTATTGTACAATTTTTTCATCAAAATGTGATTACATGATGGGCATTTTGATATTGATGATATGCATTGTTTAGATTTAGAACAATTGTTGTGTTTTGTTTATTCTATTTTGTATCATTTGTAATTACAATTATTTATTTCTTAATAAGTAATTCAGAATAAAATTTTATTGTTATTTTTGTTAATTCGAAAAATTCATTCACTCAAATAATCTCAGATCCGGATTAGGTCGGATCGGCAAGTTTCTATTGTAGGTACCTATTGGTGTATGATAAAATATTTTGCGTGTAAAAATGAAATCATGAAAGATATACTGTACAAGTTTTATGTTGAAATTTGATGTCGTATTCTTTATGATTGTCAATAAATATTTATACTTAAGAAATACAATATACAACTTGTTGAAAAGATCAAAATGAAATGAAATTAAAAAAATTGTAGAATTTTAAATTTGTATTGTATTGTAAATTTGTTGAATCTTGTAAATTAAAAAAAGTGTATGTAAAAAGTTTAAAAATATGTCTTTATTTTTTTAATTTACTTAATTCAATTAATAATGAAATTAGATTTTTTTTTAATATAGATTTGGTTTCGACTGTTTAGTCTTTTCGCTATTCGTAGGTTCCAGTTAGATATTATTTACTTACTCGTTCAGATTCGTTTCGACTTTGCGTTTCTATAAAAAATTAAAGTATTAATTTTATTGAATTTTAGAAATGAATCAATTATGCTTACCGTTAACTTGTTCTTCTTCCACCTAAAAATTAAAAGGAAATAGTATATTATTATAAATATATAACATTGTGTTTATGTGTAAAATAAAAGTTGCATGACAAAGAATTAAAATTGAAAAAATGAAAGCATCGAAAATTTTTTGTTTCTAATTTCTCATGTTGAGAGTTGAAGTTTTATAAATTAAGTGAAATACTAATACTGGGTATGAAGATCTTAGAATATGTATAACTTTAAATTTGTATTGTTTTATAGAATTAATTGGCAATGTGGCATTTTCTGAATATTGTCACATATTTTATATTTATATAAACAATGTGGTTGAAGTGAAATTGGTATTATTGTTAATTGTGTCATTGCAGTTCAATTAAAAAATATAAAAGTTGTGTATTGCGATATTAAGATATATGATAAAAGTAACTTTTTTATGGAACATCCTGTGTATGCGTATGTATTTTATAAAAAACAAATTAAATAATGGTCAACACTAATTACCAATATTATGAAATTAAGGACATTACAATCAATTAAAGTTTTCTATTTGTATAAAATGGTGACAGTTGATATTTTAATGATAAGAAGAAATATGTTAAAAAGTTTAAAATATTTGACATAAATTACTGTGGTTGTAATGATAAAGGAGTTACAAGTTGTAAAAATTTTTTTTTTAAATTTTATGATTCTCAATTTGTAAAGATTAAGTCTAGTTTTATACTTTTTGGTATATTTGACGTGTTTAAGTATTACCAGTTTGTCTTTGGAATAAATTTAAAATTTTAAATATCATTTATTGGTAGTTAGGTGTTGATTTCACTATATAAATATTTATAATTATTGATGATACGTTACCTCCGTTGGTGGTCCCGTCTCGTTTTCTGTTACAATTACAGATGAGTTTGCTTCGGTTTCTTCAATTTTTAGATTATCATTAATATTTATGTATCATTATTTTATTAATCAATTTCTTACCGTTTGGCATCTAAAATTTAAAATAAATATATCAATAGAATACTTAAACAAAAGATAGATATATGTATGTACCTAAGTAGATTTAATTTAATTTTTTTAATGAAAATAAACACACATTGCCTAAATAATCTTTGATGTACGTATATCAAATGGCATCATTGTGATTTTTGTTTGTTTATATACTTTTTCATGACGCATATTAAGGAAAGCTGCAATTTTTCAAAATAAAGTACTTTCTTTGTGATGGATGATGTTTCTTAAATATTACCTTCATTTAAAATGGAGTAAATTTTACTAACCTATTAGATACCTATTTATAAAGTTTAGTGTTTTTTTTCTATATAACACGAACATCTTTACAAATATTGTATATACATACTTCTATCATTAGCATGTATTATGTTTTATTAACTCTATTTAATATGTCCTACTTTACATTGATTATAACGTTTATTTTTAAATTTTTTTGTTACATCTATTTTGGTTGCAATGTTTAGTGATACCTATTTTTTATAAAGTATAATAATATTATTCTTTTTTTTGTTTGTTAAAATTTTTAATGACAATCTACATTAATATAACAAATTTTCATAATAAAACATTTAACAAAATAGTTTAAATTTATAAATAATTTTGTATGAAACATATGGTTGTATTATACCGATTGAATATTTTAAAACCGAATATAGGTAATTACTATGGAAAAAGGGTTTTTTGGTGATCGTCACTATCCACATTAACTTAGAGGGTTCATAATTAGGAATGGGCGATAACTGTTTTCACCTATCAATAAGTATCGGGTAGTTACCTATTGATATATTTTACTTATCGATATGCCGATAATTATCGAAATATCGATGGTTATCGATATATTGCTACCTATCGATAACTATCGAAATATCGATAGTTATCGATATTTCGACAGTTATCGATATGTTGATAGTTGTCGCTAGGGATGGGCAATAGCTGTTTTCATCTATCGATATAAGTATCGGGTACTTACCTATCCATATATTTTACATGCCGATGATTATGAATAGGTATGGGAATTTTTTTCGATATATCGATAGGTATCGATAGATCGATTTTTTTAGCTCTACCTATTGTTTTTCGATATATCGATATCTATTGATATATCGAAAAAAATTCCCATGCCTATTCATAATGATACGTATCCAAAGATGATTTTTTTCTTATCTAATGATATACAAATTAGTTCATTTTCAGTTGTAGTTATCATTATTTTATTAATAATTCAGCAATTGATCCAATTAATAAAATTATGTTAACCATGGAAATTTTCTAAAGAATTGAAATAGGTTTTGACACAGACGGAATGGGCGTTTATTAAAGTGAACGGAAAACAAATATCGCGTAAATATTTTGAACAGTTGTCATAAACTGATATTGATTTCGACTTGATTAACGTTTGAATCTGATTTTTGTTTTACTAGTCATGGCTATATGATTTTGAAAAACAATTATGAAATTTTGCGAAATATAACCTCACTTTCGACGAAATGAATTGAACTTTTAATTAAGATTGTGGAGGGCCCCTTCCGCAGATTTTTTTATTGAAGACGCTTCGTTAAGTTGCCTTTTATCCATTTCTATCAATTTAATGATCGTACATGGGGGGGCTTATTAGCGTTACGTAATCTTATTTTGTTCGTATAAACGAAATTAATGTACCTACTGTATAGAAAAATTTGCAATTGGGGGGAAAATTTTACTTTAGTGATGAGGTTTGGCCGTTTTTTTCGACTAATTGCATCGTATTAGTGTTGAAAATTTAAGCTTTTTTAGAATAATAGAAATAAATTTTTACCTTGCAGAGCTGATGGACACTTCAACACTCAACAGGGTGTGGCTTCAGGTTCGAAATGAAGTTTGTGCTTTTATAGTTAAAGATGTCAAATGATTGATATTTACCTAACTTTACTCTTTTGAATTTTTTACGAGTAAACCATAGAATAATTCTGCAATAATTAAAATAGTTGTATTTAATAAAATCATAACCTCTTGAGTACGTGATGTTAATAAGTCCCCCAGGTATGATCATCAAATTGATAGAAATAGATAGAGATCACCTTAGTGATACGTTTTCAATTAAAAATTTGTGGCAGAGGTTTTAAATTTTCCACAATTTTAATTAAAAGTTTAGTTTATTTTCTGGAAATCTGGTATTATTTTATGTCTATTTCGTCATACTTAAGTTGGCGAAATTGAAAAATTTTATGTGACAGTTATTAATTTATAAACAAATGTGAGTTTTATTGGAGGTTATGTTAACTTCTTCGTCTACAAAATTGAAATATCCTGGGTTTAACGTGTATATTAACAGTTTTTAATGTAATGAAAGTAGTATAATAGATATAATATACAATACAATTTAAGGTTTCGTTCGACAAATGAGCGATACTTCCATGTCACTTGTGGATACACTCTAATAACACCACTTTAAGAAGTGTATACAGTTTAATCTCTTGAATGCGTTAGGGAAGAAAAATATCGCAGAAAAGGTTACATATTGCGAGTGATAAAGATCGATTTCTTTGTATCGATCACCGAGGGGGGAAATCCGGACGTATTTTTCATGGATCGCCTGTATAGTGATCACAGATTAATTTGAAACGTTTTTTTTGTATGAATCGCTGCTTAGTATACACAGCCTTATACGGTCGAGAGGGAGAGGAATATCTTTCGCAGTTTCCTTAAAAAAAACGGGTCACCCCTAATCTTACGACTCATTCGGTATATGTGTTTTTATAAATATGCATAAATGTATATAATCTATGGTTTACGATTTTTTGTCTGTCATTTCGATTATTGGTAAACATCATCGAATACAGTAAACGTCAATAACTTTATAAATAGGTAAGTACTATTTATTTATATTTTACATTATGTACACAAAGTAGTTATTTATGGTAAAAAGTGATGATGGCATTGTTTATGTCGAATACAAAACTTTTCGTAGGTATATTATTATAAACTTTTCCTGTATCAGCTTACGATAGCATTGTGGTTGATTCTAACACATTAATTAGGTGAAGTATACTCCAAGGTTGGTTACATACGTGCGGGTTAAATGGATCTATTACTAGGTCGGTGTTGTTTTATAACTTTTCATACACTTTATCGATTTTTTTTTATCTAGTCAAGTGTTGCTATTTGCACATTAATATGATATCGTTTTTGTACCGGTGGCATCGTTGAGTTTAGCAAATAAGGTGAAGGGGATATTTGGAGTAATCTGGTTTAGAACAAACCCCTTTTGAGGACGTTTTACATTTGATTTATTAAAACGTGAGCAACAATTTGTAATACCATTTGATCACAGTATATTGTCGACACGGTATTTGTGTATGTATTAATACAATTCCGTAATGTATTATGTATGGTCGTCTTTGACACCAGATGATCCAGCGTACGTGATTGGAAAATATTTATTTGCTAAGAGTTAATTCTTTGGTGGGCAACTTACCCGAGTTGAAATATATTGTTAAAATAGTTTATTGAAATGTTTAAAGTAGATAAGAGATTTTTGGAACAAAGGGAGAAATCATAAATACTTTTAGATCCACTTTGTTCGAGACTTAATTATTTGAATCTTATGAGAGTGTACGAAACGCAAGTACAGCTTAAAACTGTGGTGCATGATTAGAATACAACTTTGTGTATTTTTAAAATTGGAGTTTCACCTAAATACATTTCATGAAGTTTTGGTCTTGAAATGTGTCACTTGAGTTCAAAGGTTTTTTTTCATAATAAATTTGTTTGTAATAGTTATATATCCAATTTGGTTAATTGTTTGTTTTGTGTTAGATAAAAATGGCTACATTTTTTGGATTGGGAGACAGTGTTTTGAGAAGAGTGCTGGTAGAGGGACAAGGTGTCTCTACTAGTCGAATTTATGGCAAGCTCGTCGTGGACTTGTGCATCGGCGGGCAAACGATTTCGCAATTGAGAAAAAGAGTCGAACGCTCACGAAGTGACGAATCGGAATGGTTTGTGCCTAGAAATACGCCTCTGGTCGTTTTGATAGGAACCAACGATATTTTAAGAAGTGGCAGAGCTTCTGTTGTCTTTAATAATCTTAAACGGTTATTAATTACATTGGAAAAGTGGTCGAGGATAACTCCCATCACCTTGTGTACTCTTCCTCCAATAAAGCATGCAAGTCCCGATGTTCGACATCAGTTGCATAAATACAACACGTCGATTAGAACGTTGTGTTCTAATCGATGTGATGTATTTAGGCTATTGGACTTGTATGCCTTATTGGACGCGGAGAATTATGAGGGCCACTTTTTCGAACGGTAAGTTTCATTATAGTACATATATTGTTATATTTTAATTTGTTATTTTTAGTGACGGTATTCATCCAAATAGAGAGGGGCTTTTGAGAATTTATGATTCCATAAGTTCCCTCTTTAACTAATGGGTCTCGCATGTTCGGTAAGTGAATTACTTTAATTGAAAAAATATAATAATTGTTTTATTAATTGTAGAGTACATGATAACCGTTTAGGATTATTTTTGGCGATGGAAGACTACCCTTTTTGAAAATCGTTTGGTAAACAAAGTAAAAAAACGAAAATCGTAGGAAGCGCGTGCGAGGTATCGTCGGAAAGGTCTCGGCGGCCGCGGTAAGGATGGGCCGTGTTAAGGCCGGCGCCGTCGGCGCGCGTCGTCGGACGCCGCCAAAATGAGAATCTCGGTAACGAAAAGTCGTAGGAAGGCGTGCGAGGTATCGTCGGAAAGGTCTCGGCGGCGCGGTTAGGATGGGCCGTGTTAAGTTTCGGCGCCGGCGCGCGTCGTCGGGCGTCGCCGAAATGAGAATCTCGGTAACGAAAAGTCGTAGGAAGGCGTGCGAGGTATCGTCGGAAAGATCTCGGCGGCGCGGTTAGGATGGGTCGTGTTAAGTTTCGGCGCCGACGACGCCGACGCCGGCGCGCGTCGTCGGGCGTCGCCGAAATGAGAATCTCGGTAACGAAAAGTCGCAGGAAGGCGTACGAGGTATCGTCGGAAAGCTCTCGGCGGCGCGATTAGGATGGGCCGCGTTAACTTTCCAACTAACTGCAATCTAACCTAACTGCGCGCGTCGACCTAACCTAACCGAGCATTTCGACCTAACCTAACGTGTCTATCTAACCTAACCTAACTGCGCGCGTCGACCTAACCTAACTTAACCGCGATCTAACCTAACTGAGCATTTCGATCTAACCTAACACGTCGATCTAACCTAACCTAACCGCGCACGTCGACCTAACCTAACCTAACCTAACCTAACCTAACCTAACCTAACCGCTACCTAACCTAACTACACATCGCGACTATCTAACCTAACCCAATTGCAATCTGACCTAATTGTGAGGGAAGGGGGGAGGGGGGGGGGGTGATTATTTGCGTAAAACCACCTTCGATTTCCAGATAAATAAGAAATATACGCAATTTTTTACAAATATCGACGTTCGAGTGCCCAAAAAAGTCACTCGGGGACCGCGTATTCTCGCCAAACTTTACCGCTCACCTAATCTCGTAGTGTAGAGTCGATTTTGGCAAAAAAAAAAAAATTTAATTTTTCGTCAAAATTTTTTCGAAAATCGCCGTTTCCATATCGATTACGATTTAACGCACTTGCGATCCTATCGTGGGGACTCCGGGGCAAAATTATAGAAGGTCGCATCCAAAGTGATCGTTTAGTATCGAAAAGTCCCCGGAATTCCACCGGCAAGTGCCCGTTTTGCGCCCATTTTCGTGAGCAATTTCATTTTTTTTTCCACGTCCTCTCCCGGAGACGCCTTCGATTTTTTGGGGGAGGTGAAGGTGTCGTAGAATAGCCTCGTCCTTCCTCTTTCGATCGCCGCCTTAACCTCTCGAATACCTCGAATATTGACGAAATTACGAATTTTTTTGTAAAGGGGCGCAAAATTCGAAAAACAAAAAGCGCCATCTAGCGTCGAAACCGTAAATCTTTTATTAGAATTTTTTCTCGTTTTTGCAATCTCCGCGTCAAAACGCATAAGATGACGTCGAAAAAACGACGATTTTTGACAATTTTTTTTTTCGATTTTTTCGAAGGAAGGGGATAGTATGGAAATTTTTTCGTTTTTTAATTTTTGGGATAACTTTCGAAGTAGGACTCGTATTTCGACGAAACCTTTTGTAACGTGTCCTTTGAGGTAAAATGCAACGTCCGACGTGTCGATCGATCGAATCGGGGACGTTTTTGAATTTTCGAGTTGCCCCCTCGGGAATATCGATTACGCGATAAAGTTTTGGAAAATTTCTATTCGAAAGGTCGTCTCCGTACGTGGGCACTCCGGAACTCGATATTTTACGTCGGTCGGGGCCGTCGACGCGTCTCCGAGTTTCGTTTGGCACATCGAGACACGAAAAAAAACACGTCTTTCGGCCTCGGCGGCTGCGCCGCCTCGCCTCGCTTCTTTGTTCGATTCCGGAACGCACACCGATCGATACGGAAGAGACGCGGACGTAGAAAACCGCATCGTTTTGGTCCTCGGAGTTTCCGAATAACCTTTAAAATACGAAATTTACCGAAGAGAAGAGGGTGGGGTGGGGGGGGAGGGGGGGAAGTGTCGGACGTAAAGTCGGAGAATACCGATACGAGATCGACTTAAAAAACCGCATCGTTCTAACCCTCGCGGTTTTCGAACAGAGTACGTTTAAAGGTTTTTAGGGGGGAGGGGGGGATGGGAGGTTAACGGAGTGGTGCCGGGGTACGTAACGGACTTCGAAGAGAATACTCCGATCGAAGACTTGCCAAAAACTTACCTCCTCCGAACGAAAATTGACACT